GATGGTTTGTTTATTAAAACCTTTATAATATACTGCTAACCATTATTAACTATCACAATAGATAGTATTATACCATGCAGTAGAAGAAGCTCAGCCATTAATGAATAATAAGAGCAGGGCTCAAGTATTTATTATTCTAATATATATATATCTGCGGCCGGCCGCTCCTGTGCTAATAATTTATTTAGGTCAAGCTTATTCAGGTGATATAGTCAGCAATAGGGACATCTAATACGGAACACACACAGTCTACTATCACATCCAAATTTTTCTATAATATTTTAAGAAGGCTATAGCCTAATTACACAAGTAAATAGCCACTTTCTCTGGTTAATATAACTCGGATAATTAAGGAAAGCCCCCCAGCAGCGTCTTCTAATAATAGCGAAGGATCAAGTATGTTAGATACTACTAGTCAGACTAGTAGTAATTATAATAATAGACAGGCCTTTAACACTGAATATACTAGGGGGGTTAATTTTTTTATATCGGAAATAGACTTTAATACTTTAAAAGCTAACACACCTAACTTAAGTAATTATATATTTTTAATCCTGTATACTCCTTCTTATCCTGATATTTCTATAGTGGATATGGACTATATCTTTAGTCTAGTAGATATTAGAAGCGTACTTGGCCTAACCTAGCTAGTTAAAAACTTACTTTTTATTATCTAGTTATCTACAGCAGCAAGCCTTAATATCCCGGTCTTTCTTTAAATTAGCTCTAGTAATAACTGGTTCACTGACCAGAATACACTCTGGGATATAAAATTAGAACTGCTGGATACTAGTCCTCTAGATAATTATATATAATTTAGTACTAATCCAGCTAATAGTATAGATCTTGATTTTTAATAATTAATAGCTAAAGCTTTGTATTTACTAGCTCTCTCTCCGGTCCCTTCCCTAGCTGTTTTATCAGCCAGGTTGCTAGCGGCACAAGTAATACCAGAAACACATAGTCAACAGTTAGACCTTACTTCGGAACTCTCAGACGGGAATTTATATATCACCAGCCAAGTGGATCTGTGTTTATTCACCCAGGCAGTGCAGAACACTGGATTAGCCCTTATACGTGGCGATAATATTTTGTTGGATTAGATTCCGCCCACAGATCATTTTTAATATACATAGGGGATCTTTAGCGGCCAGTATCTCCGAGTAATACTAGAGGATCTTATATACCCCGGTAGAGTTATAAGTGAGTAGATAATTAATTATTTCTCACAAAAGCTTGTTTATTCACGTGAGATACTTGGAGTGTGGGTAGGCAAAGTATATAAGCTAGATACTTTAACTCATATCTACCGCTGCTGACCCCTGATTTTGATTAGAGAAGCTAAATACTGGTTACTAGTTAAAATTTAACTCTCGACTGGTAAGATTATCTACTACAGATGCTATATAAGTGATAGATTGGTGAACCTGATTTAGGACTGTAACTAGTATAGTACTTACTATATAATTAATAACTTTATTATTAAAATACTCCGGCAGTAACAGAATCTGGTTTTATCCTAGTAATATAATAAAAAATATATTATTATATTAGCCCCGGATTTAAATTAGCTTATCTGGATTATCTGCCTCCGAGCTAAGTAAAAAAACTTATCCCGCCTGGTACTACCATAGTATTAGTTAAATCTTGCCTAAGAAATGCTCTCAGATTATAAAGCTGTTTAAACCACCGAGTAAATCTTTAATTTAACCTGGCAGCCTTAGCTACTAGGTAATAAGCAGTAGATACTTGTTAAGTATTACTTAAAAATAAATATAAAAAATAAGTGTGGTAATAAGCTCTAGAAGTTTGTTTTTAAGCTGGCCTAGTCCCAGTCCTATAAATACAAATATAAAAATATTAGACTTTAGTGAGCTACTAAATTATTCCATCTGGTAATTAGTATCAGTTTAGTAGATATTTTTATAATAGTTAAGGCTGCTCTCTGTAAATTATAATTATAATCCCAGTATCCTAATACTTATAAAAAGACCAGATATAGTACTTTTTGAGCACTACAGGCCTTTTCTAAAAAAGATAATATCTTTATAATTAGATTAAAACTGGCCTAGTGGAAGTTATACTAGCTTAAAAAGAACTTAAGTAACTTAAAAAAAAAGATTATCAGTTTAACCCCTGCTGGGAAGCCGGCCCCCAGCTGGGCAGAGATTTAATATTATCTGGATATATATAATAAAGGTGTTTACTGGGACACCTTTATAAATATTATTAGTAATAAAAATTCTAATATTTTTTGCCTTATTCCTCGCTCTGTTACCGGCCCTCCTCTTTGGTGTTATTGATTTAACCTAACAGTATACAGAGACATGTCAATCCCTAAGAAGATAATTCTTAGATGAATTTAGAGGGAATTAAGGCCTAATATTCTAATGGATGTTAATAGAAATCTATTAAGTATTTTATTTTATATAAGAGCCCCTGTAGATTATTATCCTTTAGAGGAGGTAAGTAATAAATCTATTATATAAAATAATTTATTATTATCCTTTAATATAAATCTGCTCAAGGAGCCCTGTCAACCTATTATATAATAATCTGATCTTAAATCCTTTTTGTTTTAATAATATATATATTCCGCCCTTTCCCTGTATATTAATAGCAGATCTTTTATAAACTAATCTTTAACAGTATACTAGTTTTCACAGGACAGCCGCAGATTATATAGTTGTTATTAGGCTTTAGATAGATATTAGGACAGCTTTTATCTCCAGGCTTGTATATAACAGTTATATAATTCTTATTATCTGGTATAGCAGAAAAGCCACGACAAATAATTTTAAAGTTATTTCTGATATTAATATATGATAAGTCCTAGTAAAGTATAGACTTGAAGACACTATATTTAAACTAAAAGATATTCTATTTATTATTCTTAGTAGTAATCTTGATAGAGATACTAGTGTTATTAATAATTAGTAACTATAAAGTTTGGCAATACACTGATTTTGGGCTGATAATATGGAGTAGTCTATTACTTTTTTAAATAGACTAGATATACAGGTTATTTTTTAAATTATTAATTATAGAAATACTACCTAGTATATTAGAGGCCGAGATTATTATTACAAGAATAGATATTAGGATATATATAAAGACTGCTATGTTATAGATAAGTAAAGATTAGAACTTTAGGAAATCGGCTTAAATATTAAGTATAAAAAATAAATTTTAGAATAGAAAGCTTTCTCCTGCTAATATTTAAAGTAATATAAATATAAATTCTTATATTTTAGCTAGATGGATTACTATTTTTATTCTAATATTTAAATAACTATAAACTTTATGATTTGCCATTTCTTTTATATTATCCTAGCAGCGGTACTAACTGCTTAGGCTGCGGACACTAAAATAGGATATAATATTCTAAATACAGTTTTACCGCCTAGTATCTCCAAGACCTAAGGCTGTTATATCATGTTATAAGTTCAGATCTCTATATATGCGGTATACTGTTAATTTTTTATACCTGGTAGAATTACTACTACCGGCCCTGGTATCCTCCTAACTAGAGTATATTCTTTCTGTAGCTGTGGAAAAAGCTAATATGATATTAAGATATTCACTTAAAATTAATTTATATATCTGGCATACTCTTTAGGCAGATAATAAATAAGCGCTATTTCTACAGTAATACCGCTAATTATATCTAATATTTATTTATTTATTCCTTCTGCTATTAAGTCTTTAAATCCCTTAATTTTCTTAAAAACCTCAGCTGTCTCTATAGTATCAGAGCTAACATGCTTAACTAAAGTTTCTAATAAACTAGTTCCGGAAATAATATCTCTTACAAGTATTTTCTGTGCTATAAAAGTGCTTTCTTCACCAAATACTAAACTATGGAGCTTAATATTTAAGGTTAAAGATACTGGCTCTGCGGTAGATAAGGCTTATAATTTTGCCGAGGCTATTACTATAAGCTGGTTAATAAAAGAAAACTCTAATATATATTTTAATTTTTATTATGAGGAGTCAAGCCAGTCAAAGGAGGGAAAAGATATTAAATTAATATTTATAGTAGCTACTTAAAATAACTGTAATGTTATGTTTACTCTTATATTATACTGCTATATTTTTAAATCAATACTAGAAGGACAGCCTGCGTGTCCTAAAGATTATAATTAGATTATAGGCGGGATGGGAGTCAGTGGCTGCAGTTATTTCTTACTTACAGTATTATTATCCGATACTAAGAATCTTTTTATAAATATATATTTTTCTTAGGACTAGAAGTAAGTTAACTTCTATCTTTTTTATATATACTAAACTAACTTAATTCAGTAAAAACCACTACTGTGATGCTAAGCTTAATATAAAATATAAGTTTAATATTTGATTATATAAAAGAGAGCAGAGGCGCCTGCTGCTTTCTTTTTAATAAGATCTTAAATCTTATAAGTAATTATTAGATAAACTAAGTAGAGCTTAACCTATAATTAAACTATTTTTATTATTAATTTTAGCTCTGAGCATAAAAGGTATATATTATAATAGACCCTAAGATTAGTTCTTATTAGAATCTATATTATCTATTAATCCGATAAGATGTGGCGACCGGAAAAGTATAAAATAATAAAGATGCTTTTTTTAGCTGTTCTTACAAGCTGGAAGAGGTCCGTCTATAATAAATCCTAATCTATTACACCTAATCTTTATGTTAAAATGTTTCTTAATATAGAAAAGATTCTACTATTAGATAATATTCTAGCTACTTTATTTATTTGGATTTTTTTAGCAGGATATCTTGTATTTTCTGGTATATTCGCCTCTCTCTGAGTATCTGAATTGTTCAAGTCTAGTGCAGCCAAAAGTAATATTAAAAAGTCAATATTTTATATTATATAGAATATCTTGTTTTTAGTAGTTGCGGCTGTATATTATGCTATAGGCCTTTATAATATAAGCTGGCTATATTATAAAAGAAGGGAAAACTACATATGGCTCGCTCGGAAACTCTTTTTATAAATAACTTATTTATTTTATAAGAGGCATACTAATATTACTAGACCGGTACTGATTAATTTAGTTATGGGATTTCTTAATATATTTATTAATATATATATAGTATAAGCTGGGCTGTGGTTTATAACTACAATAGTAACTACTTCTGTAACCGGTTTCTTTATGCTGATAGCTAGTATACTGTTTCTAATTTATAATAACTAACTATTTTTTAGGCTTGAAAAGGCCTTTAACAGAGATATTAAGAAAGAATAAATATATGCACTTTTCTGTTAATAGACTTAGATATATCTGAGGTAATGCTATCTAGTTATATAACTTTTGGCTATAATAGTAATAAAGGTTCCTTATATATAGGAGCCTTATCATGCATATTATTTAGTTATTTTATTAAAAATAATCTCCTTTGGCTTAAGAAAGTATTAAGCCTGTAACTTTATTAGTATATTATTTTTTAACTCCCGCAAAATAACATACCAGCTGCTTATATAAAGGAGACCATAAGCTATTCAAGTTAAAAAAGAATATCTGTCTATTATGCCTGAGGGTAATAACTAAAGATATATCTGCATTATATTCTATAGAGTACTTAAAAGTCCTTCGGAATAAGTGATTTTTCTGTTAACTGCGCTGCTGGTATTTAGATTTAGTAGTATTTAATTATTGGTAGCAGATACTTTATTTCTTAGTAGCTATTTTGATGAGGTTTCTTAGGGCAGTATCAGATATAAAAGAATCTATTCTTAAATACTTATACCTAGCATAAGATTAAAAAGCTCTAAAATAAGTGGTCAAGGTGCTCACATTAAATAGAAGTAAAGTGTCTTATAGATCTGAGCTCTTATATTTATATATATATATACATAACTTTTTATACATAGCTTTATATATCTATATCTTGTTTTCAGTCTATCTCCTAATATTTATGATCTATAATACAGATACTATTATTATTTAGTATACTCAGCTTAACCCACGCTACTACTAGTTTTTTATTATTTAATAAAAATATCAGGTTTATCTCTGCTGCCTACTTTACTAACTAGGTATATGTCTTCTTTCCCTATTTATATAAACTAGTAGTAATTAACAAGAACAGGCGATTTATAACTATTATTATATATCCCAGGATATCTCTATTAATAATCTGACGCATATTTTCTATGCTTTTGCTAATATACGCCCTAATAAAAAGATCTTCTTTATAAATAAATAGTCCGATCTTTAAAAGCATTTTAGGGAAGACTCTTAGAATAAACTGAATTCTACTATAAGAGCATACAGATGTATCAACTAAATTTATAAGTTTAAGAAAAGCAATCAGAACTTAAAAGTTCTTTTATTAATTAGTAGATAAATATACTCTAGTAACTTTAAAGGCCTTGTTAGTTTTCCTGCTGGACAGAAAAGATTTATAAAGTCTGTTGTAGGGTTAATATAAAATCTTGGTTTTGATAGTCTTAATATTAACTAGAAGATAAATATTTTATTTTTCTTTTTTTTTTAGCTGTTCCTAGCTGACAGCATACAGTATCCCACTAATAATATTTAAGCGCGGAATATGATATCTCTTCTTTATAAGGTCCGATCTGTAAGTATCTGAACCTGTGTGATATATAAATAAAACTTAATATTAAATCTAGGAGATTAAAAGCCAGAATAACAATAATAGTCTTTATTTTTTGATAGTTATCTCTCTAGCTGGATTATTTAAGTACTTTATCTTTTATCTGACTGCAATAGATCAATATATTAATTATTAGAACTTGATGGGTTATAATTATACTAGATTATAGGATTAATTCTCTGGCTATACTATAAGCCTGTATCTGTTATCTGATCAGCCCTATAGCACTTTTTTTAATATAAATAAAGCAGTGTCTGCCTATCTGGAGGCTGGAATTCCAGCTTATAAGATTATTTTAGGAATACTACTTTACGGACGCGCGTTTACTGGGACTAACAGGCCAGATACTTGCTTTTCTTTTATTCCTGCCGGTCATTATAAATATAATATCTATAATTATAAGGATCTATCTTTGGATGGGGCTAAGATTAAAGAAGATCTAAAATTAGGAGTAAGCTAGAGCTATAATCCTTCTCAGTATATAATAATAAGTTATAATACCCCAAACATCATTAAATTAAAAGCAGACTATATTTACTCCAAAGGGCTGGGCAGTGGGGTCTTTTGGGAGACTAGCGGTGACTAATCTAGAATAGAAAGTTTAATTTCAACTATGGGTTCTCCTACTATAATACCTGTCTATAAAAGCTAATTATTTTTAATACAGCTTATGGCTTCTTTTGGTAGTCCATGCGCTTTATAAAAGTCCCAGAACCATATTAAATACCCAGATTCTAGTTATAAAAATATTTAAAATTAATAAAATCTGATAAATATTTACTCAGGGTATTATTTCTCAGATTTAAGTATCTATAGCTGCTTCCCCCTTTCAAGTTCTTTATTTAGATGTAGCAGTCAGGAAAGACATAACTCCTCACTCTATAAAAGTAGATATCCATCTCTACTTAGCTAATAAGAGCCTGTTCAAGAGGCTTATATAGTTGGTAATAAGGTCTTTAAATAGGTCTGATATTAGTTATAGGATGGGCTTGATATAGTATCTCTAGTAAGATCGATAAGAATATTATATCTATTATCATGAGCTCTCCTAATGTTAGGAATCTCTATTGATTCCTGAAAATGATCCCTTATACTGACAAGACAATTTTGATCTATATTATATGCCTTGTTTTCGTTTTTCTTTGCTTGATTATCCGTTTATATACATGCTGTATTATTACTTGAGCTCTTTTTAGCATAGATAATTATATAGCCTCTCTCCTTAACTTATATAATAATCTAACTCCTTGACCAGACTTCTGTATTTATATATATGTATTATATTAGACCCTTAATAATGTTTATAAGGCTGACAAACCTCCGGCAGGCTTTGATAATTATATATTTAGTATTAGTAATTAGAGATACATACAATTGGATACTTTAATAATAATATAACTTGCTGATTTATCTAGCATATATTTTAGGAATAAAATATTATATTCAGAAACTAGCAGAAGCAGAAATATAATTCTTTTTAAAAATAAGATTTATATAGATAATATAGCTCGGCAATACTAAATTACAATCTTCTATAGCTAATAAATATTTTCTAACTTTTTTATATTATACTTATAATTATGGTCAAGCTTTCTGTTCTGTTTTTTTACTATAATTACTTCTTGCTTTATATTCCATCAAGATTTATAATTATCTTTAGTATTATTTTCACAGGTTATATAGCTATAGGACTGCTTATCACTACTATTCTATTATGTATATTTAGAATTCTTTTAACACATGCTTCCAGTCATTATATAAATACAACTATTCTTCTATAGGCTATTACAGCTATAAGCTCGGCCGCAGATATCTATACTCTAGTCCTGCCTTTACCCTGTCTTTGGTACTTAAATGTCCTGCTATATCAGAGACTTAAAGCTATAGTAATATTTAGTCTTGGAATTTTGTAAGCTCCCCCCCCCCCCCCCCCCATGAGACTAGGGATATAACTAATATTAAACAGTGCATGTATCTTAGGGTTTGTATAACTAGGGAAGACTATAATACTTTTCACAGATACTAATATTATATAGAATCTGTCTCAAATAATTATGCTTACATATGTCCCCGCTTTTCATACTATATATATAATATTAACATATATAAAGTATGCTTGAGGCAACTAGTGGTATATTAAATATCTGTCTATTATTATTCCCAGCATGGATTAAAGGTAAAGGTCCTAAAAGAGTCGTGTCCTTTATTTTTCTGTTATTTTTCTGTCAATTACATTATGACACAGAGTAACTATGCTATGTAGACCACCAGCGGTAAAAGAAGGCAGAAATTAATACAGTGTACAGCGCAAAAAAGTAAATCGACTTGGAAGTTATAGATTATGCCGCATGCCTTCGACCTGCTGTATAAAAAAAGAAATATTGAATATCTTTGCGGATGCATGGTTACAGTAGAGTTCGAATTGTCCTTCAGTTTTTTGCACTTGGCTGGACTATTTTCAAACCCTAGCCCCGAGCCCTAATTATCCCGTAAGGGGCTAGTCAAGTTTCATTGAAAATTATCGTATGTATGAGACATGAATTACAATAATGACTCATTCAATGAAACATGATGTCACTTGATTCTAGGGAAATAGAATCTTCTAGACTGGAATTCCAATGCACGCACAAGGAGTCCCAGACTGACAACCTGTCAACAACTTGCATCACGCAGCTACGTCCTACAGAGCTACGTCCTACAGAGAGCCACAGCATATCTAGGGCTATTGAAAGATACCAGATACAAAATGTAATTGGATCTTAAATGCACCTGTACTCCGTCGTTCCTTCCATGTTTTGTATTGCTGGTCTCCTTGTTTGGGCGTCAAGAAGCGAAAATTAATAGAGTATATCTTCCTTTCTTAGCACTCCACCCAGATCTAAGGAAAGAGTAGTAATTAGTAGAGTTGGCTTTACACCACCCAGTGACCATCTTCTGGTAGTCAGTCAGTACTCACATTTGTCTTCAAAAATGGGCATAGACTAACGACGTATAAGTTAAACGCTCATCATGGCATCCCTATAGCGGACTACGATATCTTGACAAGTTATGATATATACGATTCCTGCTGTCTGATAACGCAGACTCACAATAATCCCATTTTTGTGAGTGATCATCTGGTATGATATAACCCTAAATAGATAAAACCATTTGAAAACTGGGAGTTCGCGGTAATTTCTCTTCGATTCAACCTATTGTCCCCAAACCACGCCATACTTTCTCCCATCTCGATCTCAGCCGCCAAAACCGAAAACCCTTTCCTGGCCACCATGGTAGACAATGTTGATCTGAATAGAAGTTGGAACTCTATTATTAATTAGCAAGTCTCGAGGGCTATTATCGATATTCTCCTGTCCGTCGCCGTTCTGCACCCTATCCTGACCCTCCCCACCAGGCGTCGGAACGGTCCCCTCGCCGTTCTGCGCCCCATCCTGACCCTCATCAATTTCCATTGGAACTGGCTCCTCGCCGTTCTGCACCCTATCCTGACCCTCCCCACCAGGCGTCGGAACGGTCCCCTCGCCGTTCTGCGCCCCATCCTGACCCTCATCAATTTCCATTGGAACTGGCTCCTCGCCGTTCTGCACCCTATCCTGACCCTCCCCACCAGGCGTCGGAACGGTCCCCTCGCCGTTCTGCGCCCCATCCTGACCCTCATCAATCTCTATTGGAACTGGCTCCTCGCCGTTCTGCACCCTATCCTGACCCTCCCCACCAGGCATCAGAACAGTCCCCCCGCCATTCTGCGCCCCATCCTGAACCTCATCAATTTCCATTGGAACTGGCTCCTCATCGTTCTGCACCCTATCCTGACCCTCCCCACCAGGCGTCGGAACAGTCCCCTCACCGTTCTGCGCCCCATCCTGACCCTCATCAATCTCCATTAGAACTGGCTCCTCATCGTTCTGCACCCTATCCTGACCCTCCCCATCAGGCTTCGCCGGAACAATCCCCTTGCCGTTCTGCGCCTTATCCTGATCCTCCATATCGAGCTTCACCTGACTCTCCTTGTTCACCTGATATTGTCAACTAAAGGGGACAGACATACTTGCTTGAATTACATATTAGCCTTGCTTACCCTCTTCTTTGTTGCACGTAGCTTAACCACGTGCAACATCTCCCAGTCACCTGCAGCTCCCACCTTTCAGTTTCAACTTGAATCCGCCCCAACTAGGATTCACACCACAATTCTAGAATTAAAGAAATCTAAGGTCATCAGGTTTCGGTCCCCTTTTATGTCTCATTGCGGGGTAACTTCCTGCGGGCCACCACGTTAGGCATCCCTACTAACGCCTTGCCCCGTTGGGTACTGAAGGGGGGGTGGCTGCCTGGCCGGAGAAATAGTTGATCCGGTCAGGTGACCGTCCCTACCTGGAATAACTTCCGGGGGGTTAGGGGCCTAGATATAGACACCACCTAGTTGAATACCACTAAGGTCATCGGCATACGTCTCGTTCATCTACTAGAAAGACCCTGCATCCTATTCGACATATCCAGAGCTTCATCTTTCTAGATAGGTTGCCAGGAGGGGAGTTCGAGGTTGTCAGTACTGACATTTGATGATTGCGGGGTAATGTCCGTCTATTACTCCAGGTGTGAGTCCGCTGAGTAAGAGACGGATATTACTGCGACCCAGCTACCCTGCGTCTCCCTACTTTGAATCGAGGCTCTACATAGAGATACAGTGATTCCGGATACTGGTGTCACTACTTATACTCTTTGATTGTTTTAGTAACCCTGGAGTGAAAATAAGCTACACTAATTTCGGACTAGAAGGGAATAATTATTTTCCTGTGCCAGACAATGTATTGTAAATACTAGTTATATTACTATAATAACATACCAGGTAATCCACGCGCTTATCCCTTGGCATGGAAATTTCTGGATTTAAAATAAGTAGCAAGCTGGCTGTGACAATCTCAGAAATAAAGAAATTAATCTTTATTATAGGCTAGTTATAAAACACTAGGTTAAAAAAGGAAGAGAAATAATAACCCTCTATATAAAATAATAAACAAATCCACTGTGTGGGACAAACAAACTAAACACTATAAATAAAGTAAATACCCCTGTTAGATCTCTATCAGGGTCTCTGTTAGAACATTATTTCTGTTAGAATATCACACTGGCTATATTTACAGAACTATCTAGAGACTACTGCAGAGTTTCTTATTTATTTTAAAAAATGATTTATAAGCCTCAGTTATCCTAGGTCCTCTATTTACAAAGAGATTAGAAAGTAAGAGACTTGAGTGGAATACAAAGAATATTAATCTAATATATATAGAATCCTATAATAGAAACTCGACCACTAGGATACCCCAGGGCAAGTATGGTGTCTTTAACAGTATAACATAAAAATAAGTGATAATCAGCAGGCAGCCAGAGTATATTTTGATCTGCTAATATAATCTAGGTATCTAGTAAAGATATTTGGAAATTAGGATCAGAGTTATTCAGAATTAAAGAAAATAAATCTAAATAACCCTTAAATATCTGCCGCTGCATGCTAGTGGCTATATCCCAGAGTTTGATAGTCTTATCATCCGAGCCTGATACCAGGCTGAGCCTATTAGAAGAGAAGACTATTCAATTAATATAATCTGAATAACCCTCAAGCGTCTGCTGCTATATGCCGGTAACTGTATCCCAGAGTTTAATAATCTTATCTCTTGAGCCTGACGCCAGGATAAGCCTATTAGGAGAGAAGGCTACTGAATTAATATAACCTAAATAACCCTTGAGTGTCTGCCGCTGCATGCCGGTGGCTGTATCCCAGAGCTTGATACTGCACAAGCTCGACGCCAGGGTGAGCCCATTAAGAGAGAACGCCACTGAATTAATATAACCTGAATAGCCCTCAAGTGTCTGCCGCTGCATGCCGGTGGCTGTATCCCAGAGCTTGATACTGCACGAGCTTGATACTAGAGTAAGCCTATTAGGAGAAAATACTACTGATTTAATATAATCTGAATAGCCCTTAAGCGTCTGTTACTATATACTAGTGGCTGTATCCCAGAGCTTAATAGTCTTATCTCTTAAGTCTGATACTAGAGTAAGCCTATCAGGAAAGAAGGCTACTAAATTAACATAATCTGAATAACTCTCAAGCATCTGCCACTATATACCAGTAGCTGTATCCTAAAGCTTAATAATCTTATTATTCAAGCCTGATGCCAGGGTAAGCCTATCAGGAGAGAAGGCCACTAATCTGACTAAATCTAAATAACTCTCGAGCGTCTGCCGCTATATACCGGTGACTATATCCTAAAGCTTGATAGTTTTATTTCTTGAGCCCAACACTAGGGTAAGCCTATTAAGAGAGAAAGCCACTAAATTATTATAATCTGAATAGCCCTCGAGCATCTGTAGGCTTAGGCTCCATAAATCTTTGATTACTAAGAGTATTTATATCTATTTTAATATTTTACTAAGAAAAGTCTTTTTAATAATACTTTATACAAGTGTAAACACGAGCCCGGAATTATAGAGTTAGAGTGGAGTAATACCAGCTATATAAGTATATTAAAGAGTAAACCTTTATATATTATACAGAAAATCTAAAAGTTTAGTATTTATACTCTTCTATAATATATATCAGCCACTGCTTAACTATAGAATCATAGACTTACTTATAAACTTATTTTTAGCATATCTATTATTCCTACTACCTCTAATATACTTCTAATTAAAGCCAGTACCTCTAACCAATAGAGAAAATAGATTTTTAAAAAGAGAAGAATTAGAAACTCAGAGATATAACATCTGGTTTACTAAAAATAATATACCTAATATTAACAAGAGTATTACAGATCTACCAAGAGATGCTAGCTAAAAATATACTTATTTATATTATCTCTTTGTGTCCCGTAACTTGGTAAAGCATATGTATTCTGTTTAAGGCCTTTTTTCATGATATAAAAACAACAAAGAATAATCTTGTGATATATTCCTGACTTATTTATATAAAAGGGGCTCTCTGTGGTCAAGAGATAGTCTCGGAATAATAAATAAAAAATACAGATTAACAAATTAATATCTTCTGATATATTAAGAACTGAGTGAAATCTATCTAGGTAATTATAAATATTATCTACTAGTAAGTTAATTAGTTTTATAAGACTTTAACCAGAAAGTGGAGTAGTAAGAAGGATAATAATTCTAATTATATCCTGGAATTCTTGTTTTAGCTGCTTAATCTCTGTGTGATTTACACCTACAAGAAGTTGATTTAAAACAGGTAAATATATTCTATCTAATTAAAAGCCTAAAGATGCTGCTAGGTCTTTAAGAATAATTAGAAAATATTTTTTAAAAAGCTATCTTAGATTACCAATAAAACAGCAAACAGTGGCTGCGGAAATGAATAACAGAACCGCCCTTCTCACTAAAGTATTAAGAATATTATCTCCTAGTTATTTACCTGAAATCTTTCGGCTTTTTTTAATTATTAAAAGCTTGTTTTTAAGGAAAAATTATATATCCTTCTCAATTACTATATTAGAAAGCTCGTGGAGAATTAAATATTAATAATTATAACTTTTTTTAAAGATAGGACAAATTAACAGTTCAGGCCGGCTTATCAGAAATATTTAGATATATCTAGATTTGTATTTCTGCACCTGCGGTAAAAGCTGGAATAGAATTTATATATTATCTTTATCGTTATATTTATCTAATATGTTAATAACAATCACGATAACTATAAGGTTATTCTTATTTAGATTAAAAAGTAGCCCAAGGAGTAATTTAGTAAATTAATCTTTTATTAATTTCCCTGATATATATGGGTCTTCCTTAATTACCCTTTCTACATCGTGAATCAATACAGGAACTTAAAGCAGAAGCTATACACAGATTATAATAAAAAATCTTTTAGTAGTACCACATTTACCCTCTCTATGTTTAAAAAAGAAGCTGGCACCTAGTTTATTCTTCTTCTTAAAGCAGTAAGCTAATGTTCAGGAAATTATTAACTTTCCAGTACCTGCCATCCTATTTAACTAAAATATATAATCTTGGCCTGGACTATTTACCCACTCCAGGATCTGATAAAGCAGGCTAATCCTTGTTTTTAGATAGCATATTAAATCATGCTCATTCTTAAATACATTAAAATTTGATCCTTTTATATATAGCAGTTTATTAAAGACTTGTTTGTGCTTACTATTAATACTAAAAATCTTGACTACAGTACTTATATCTTTAATAATATTATGTATTTCTCTTATAGATTTCTTAACTTAAAAAGTGGTTAACAAACATGCTATTAAAAATATGAAAATAAAATATATTACACAGCTAAAGATTATATACTCTTTTTAATTAGATCTATATTCATAACTTCCTGTCCTAAAATAAGCTGAAGAAGTTCTTTTATATATACTACTACCACCACTACAGCATACAGTTGCCAGACCTTGTTCTTGTATAAATTAGTATAATCACAGATACCTCAAATAACAAGGCAGGGAAATAAGTCTATAAGTTCTGATAAAAAGTAAAATATCGAGTTTTCTTATATACAGGCAGAGTATATTACTGACCAGCAGCTTCTATTTTAAAATAGATGATTTTTTCCTCCTGTGCCTACTTATCTCTTAAGATAATATCTTTTATTACTTGATCTGCTAAGCTAATAATCCTATAATATAACTAAGGTAAGCTGTTAGGACAGTCTTTCTTTTTTATAAGATTCTAGTCTAAGAGTCCACGATAAGCTTGACATAATTTCTTCCCCTCTTTATAAATAATAGTAGACTTAAAAAGATAATCTTTCTTAGATCCTGGATATTAGAACTTTGTTGCTAGTGCTAGATATCTTAAAATTATTTCTGAGAATATCTCAGAGATTTTATATCTTTTTAGCTAATATTGTGTTTTAAGATAAGCAATAGCATCTAAAATAATATTTAATAGTTTGTTTAGTCTACCACTAGTATAGATGAATTTTTTTTCCTGTAATAACTTCCTAAAATTATATTATATAACAGTATCAGAAGACTTTAAGTAAATGCTTATTACTATATTACTAAGTCATATATCTTATATATCTTCTGAGTTATCTTCAGATTCCTCGGAATCTTTATTATCTTTATAACTCTTATCTTCGATTCTCGCAGAGTTATTATTTTCCCGTGCACTATAATATAATACCCCACTACCAATGCCCACTATCAGCCCAAATCTAACAGCAGGGAAGCTACAGATCATATCTTTAATAATAATAGCAGCAGAAACACTGCCTGTTATTTCCGCTAGTAAACAAGCAAGTACTATATTATAATTACTAATTCGACTAAGAGCATATATATTAAAATCATATTATAGATTAACTGCTGGGAGAATAGGATATTTTTTATCTAATATAGATATAGTAGCTGCTAGCTCAGTGTCTAGTAAAACATATATCTAGCCGATAATATAGTCGCCATGAGTTAAAGTTCATGGGGATTCGGTCATGCTTATACTAAGGAGATAATATATCTTATTATTGGCTTATAATAATATAAGAATTCTGATTTATGACAGTCTTTAAGCAGATAGACTAAGAAAGGTGTTAGATTTCAGAGGAATCTTAAGAGGAACAGGGTAAGATTGATAATACAGGGTTATCATTAACTGTTAGTAATTGCCAGCTACTAACTAATCTCCTTTGGATGGAAAAAAGTAACCCTGCCCTATAATAAGCTGGCGCGGCTAAAGGACAAGGATCTTGTTGTCACATGGTAAGGTAATTTATCATACACGCACGGAGTAAAGATGTTCCTATCCGAAAACCAAAAGTAGTTTAGTACAGTTTCATGGCAGGGTTGCTGAGACAATGGAAGAGTGTAGGTGGTGACACCAGTTTCCGGAAACCCTGTACAGAAAGGGAAACCCTGTACCTAATGGACACCAGTTTCCGGAAACCCTGTAACAGTAAGGAGGCGATAGTCGGCGGCGGAACAAGACGAAAAGGACCTGGAAAGTTGATATCAAACCATCGCGAGTAATTGAGGCGTTGTGGCTGTCCATTGTGTGCCGAGCGGGAACTAATCTCGGCCCGATAGCGATCCCGCCCGAAGGGGTTACCGAACCCCTTCCCACAAACACACAAGAAACATCAACAATTTTCAGTGACTATGACTTTCGCCTAAGGATCCCAACAACAAGAAAACGCCGCAGGCGAGGCCTCGACGCAGATAAAAATGAGCCGATTGTGAACCTTGAATTTGTGACCGGCGGAGAAAATCACAGGCGGGTGATAAACTAAGATATCCAACAGTATTTTAACAGCTTCAGTGAGGCGCTCAAGCACCAGACTGAAATAATTAAGACAGTGAGGGCAGAGGTCTGAGAGCTAAAAGCCGAGCAGCAGCTCCTGCGAACTCATAATAAAAAACTGCGTGAAAAGATTCAAGCCCTACGGGCCAAACTAGAGACACAACTGCTAAACACCCCCGGGAACAGATCCTGGGCGGATGTGGCCGCTGGCAATCCTTTGCCAGACCCTGCGAAGACTGTTCCACGTGCCAGAAAGAAGCCCAACTATGTCTGAATTAGCATTGCACCAACCCTAGACCAAGATGTAGATAATAATCAATTCTTGAGAGCCCTGCCCACTAAAGTAGTAAATACCTATATTAGAACTGCCTTTCTGAATACAGAGATCACTAAAAAAATGTAGGTAGCAGGTATTAGTACCACTAAAACAGGCTATATTATCTGATTCCGGGACACCCAGTCTGCAGAAACAGCCCGGAACAGCACCGAGTAGCTGGAGGAACTGGGAAATAATACTAAAGTAGTAAAACCCCGGTTTAGGATTGTGGTCTACCGAGTCCCGACGGAGGACTTTGAACTAGAAGAAAACAAAAAATAAGGGATAAAAAAGATTATGGCCGAGAATAATCTTTATAACAAGAAATATCAGGTTGAGGATATCGCATGGTTAAAGAAGAGAGATATGCCTCTGGGTAAATCTGCCTTAATAGGACTCTGGCTAGACTTACCAGAGGCAGCGGAATGGATTATTAATAACAGATTATTAATAGGACCGAGGTTCATTAGGAGTATAGAATCTTACCGGGTAGAAAAGAAGAGGTGCCGCCGCTGCCAGCAATTTGGCTACCTAACCTGGTTGTGTAAAGAACAGGTGAAATACAGATTCTGCGCAGGTTAATATGACCAGTATTACTACTTTCCAGGAATAAGGCTGAGATGCTTAGACTGCAATAAAAAACACCTGACAGGCAACTGGGCATGCCAGGGACTTTCTAACCCTAGTCTATCCTAATAATAGCAAACCTTTGTATCTTACAGTTAAACATCATGAAATCCAGGGCAGGGATAGAAGCCCTTATTAATAATTACTAAAGCCAGAACCTAGACCTGCTTCTGATTCAGGAGCCACTAAAGATAGTATACCATACCCATATGAACTATAGTGTATGGCGACTCTACCGACCTATATACCCTGAAACATCTTAATTTCGCAGCCTCCTCTATATTAACTGAAGAATCTCTACAGTATTACACTGCTAAATCCAGTATAGCCACCCAGATATGGTAGCTATCAAGATCTGGACTCCAGAAATCTAATACCTAGTATTCTTAATATATATCCAGCTAATCATGTTGCATGAGGTGTTTAAAGCAAGCAGTGCCCACGAAATCCTAGAAGAAATTTAGTAAATTATCCAGGAACAAGAACTAGGCAGTTGTATGATAAAATTTGTTTTAGCAGGGGATTTTAACTACCACCACCCGGCATGGAGCCACCGCGTGGTGTACCACTGCTTTATAAAATATGCAGATAAACTAATTAATTTCTTTTAAAATCATGAGCTACAATAGTGCCTGGCTTTAGGTGAGATGATATTTTGGTCTCTGAACAAGCCTGGGATGATATCAGTACTTGACCTCACACTTACTAATAATATGATATAGCTGATTAAATGCTAACTTTATTATAACTACTATAGGTCAGATCACCGGGGCATGTACTTAGAATAGAGTCTCTAACCGGAGCAGGCTAGGAAACCTAAACTGAGAAGGGCTTATAAATAAGCAGACTAGGCCCGAGTTGGCCAAATAATAAGAAAATTAATTAATCTATATCTAAGGATTTAAACCAAGCAAAACCTAGACTAAACAGTCAAGCACCTGATCTAAACCATAATAACTGTATTAAACTAATATATGCCGGTACAGGCCCCGTGCCCGTATTTAAAGTGCTGGTTTACCGCTAATCTCAAGACTTAACAGGTAGAAGTTAATTAAGCTTGCCGGAGGTAGCAAGATGGTTATATTACCCTAGGGCCCAACCACCCGACCACCAAGATAATATTTGTAGAAATATGCGAGAAAAGGCGAGAATAGATAAGGGTAATTAAAAAAGCAAAAATAAGTTACTAGAGAGAGTTTCTCGACAAAGTAGGAGAAGGCCATTTATAGAAAACAGTCATCTATATATAGCCCCGAGACACTTATACAAGCATACTAGTAATTAAAGTAGGCACGGAGGAGGTAGCCGACAACTAAAGAAAGGTAGAGGTATTCTTTAATACTTTTTTTCTGAAGATAGCAGAATCCGAAGTAGAAGCAGAGATTAATCCTACAGAAGAACTATTATAGGAGCCAATTACTAAATAAGAGATTTACCAATTTTTCTGAGTTACTAAGGGAATTACGGCCCCCGGCAGAGATGGAATCCCCACGCTCGTATAGAAATACCTGTAGATATTCCTGAAAGAAATAATTATTACTATTTTTACTAAGTCAGTGGACCTAGATTACTACCCCGGACAATAGAAGTAGGCGCGGATTATAGTATTACAGAAGCCGGGAAAACCAGACTATTTAATACTAGGAGCATATCAACCGATATTTTTATTAAACACGCTGGGGAAGTTACTAGAGGCTGTTATAGCCCGAAGACTATCCTACTAGGCGGAGAAATTCAAGCTGCTTCCGGACATATAATTTAGAGGCAGACCGGGGTAAAATACTGAGCAAGCCCTGCTGGTACTTGCTAACGCAATAGACCGAGCCTGGGTATGATCTAGGGTAGTAACACTAATCATGTTTGATTTAAAAGGTGTATTTAACGGGGTCCACTAAATCAGCCTTAACGCCCGACTGCGAGCCAAAGGTATTCTATTAAAGGCCCGGCAGTAAATCCGCAGCTTTATGTAAGACTAATAAGCTAATATCATATTTAATAACTTTAAAACAGAAAACTTACCTCTGGAGTATACTGGCCTAGCATAAGGATTATTACTCTTACTAATTCTGTTTGGTTTCTATAACTCTGACCTGGTAGATTAACCGGTTAATAGTAACAGCGGCGCATCAGCCTTTATTAACAATTATTTCTGCTGGCGAACCAGCTGAACAGCAGAGAAGAATATTAAGAAGATCTAGGAAGAAGATATTCCCTGAATTAAAATTTGGGCATGGTAAACGGGTATATCTTTTGCCGCTAAAAAGACTAAGTTAATATATCTTACCTGGCGGAAAACGGCCCACAGAAAGGGGCAGATTATTATAAATAGCCAGACTATCAAACCAGCTGATATTATTAAGCTTCTTGGGGTGATCTTTAATAAAGAGATATAATAGAAAAAACATGTGCAAAAAGCAGTTAAACAAGCAATTAAATTAAATATAGCTCTAAGCAGGCTCAGGCAGCTTCGGCCGGAGCAGATGTGCCAACTCTACTAAATATATGTGATGCCAACTATGGACTATGCATTAACGGTCTGGCACGATCCTCTGCGCAATAAAACTTACTTAAAATTATTAAAGACCATGCAAAGAATAGCTTTTGTTTAGATCCTCTTAGCCTTTAGAATAGTATCCACAGTAGCCCTTGAAGTTAAATCCCACACATTACTAACCTACCTGCGACTTAAGTAATAAGCACAAATAACAGCGGCCTGCCTTAGCACTCTCCCGGAAGACCACCCTGTCCATGATATAATAAGACGAGCGAGGGAACAGAGCACATATATTAGATCTGGCTAATAGTTCCCCCTAGCAGAAATAATACGGACAATAGATCTTAGTCAGCTATAGACACTGGAAATAATTAATCTAAAACTGCTATTACCGTAGCAGAAGGAACCATTTACTAAAATCATGATTGAACCTGACCGGGAAAAGACCAAAGATAATATTATAACTCAACGAATGTTAAATAATATCTTTATTTTCTCAGATGTATCGGGACAAGGCAACCATCTAGGAGCAGCAGCGGTTACCCTAGAACAAAACCAGATTATTATAGTACCATGACAAGTGAGCATCGGCTTGATAGAATACTGGTCAGTATATGCCGCAGAGCTCATAGTAATATATTATACTATTAGCTTGGTCTATCAGATAGCTCAGCAAAGCCTAGCAACCGCGGGTCCCGGGAAACTAGTAATAATCTTAAGTAATAGTATGTCAGTACTCCAGGTAATTTTAAACACGCGAAATTAATTAGGACAGCAAATAATTTAGGCTATTCTCCAAGCGGTAAGTGAGATTTAGGCACGCGGCATCCTTATCCGCCTCCAGTGGGTTCTGGGATATTATAATAAACCAGAAAATAATACGGCAGATTATCTGGCGAAAGGAATAATTAGTGATAAAAAAAAGTATCTCTTTTAATATTTCCTTTCCTGAGAGAGAAGCTTCATTTGACAGAAGATTAAAAAGTAATGGGAACAAGAATGGGCGACCTTAAAGAAAGGCAGATATTTTTGCCAGATTGACCAGGTATTATCTTTGATCTATGCTTGAAGACTATACGGCTCACTGCTAAGGAACTGTGCCTATCTTTTAATATAACTCTGAATAGGCCACTTATGGCTTGTATTATACCGCAAATTACGGGGTCACTATAAAGAAAATAAATGCGAATGTGGTGCCAAGAAAACTATAACCCATATATTAATTAACTGCCCAAACCTATGACAACCCCGCCAGGAAATGCGGAGGAAGATTAGGGCGGCTTTTAGCAATATATTACTAATGTTGGGAGGAACAGGCCAAGGTAAGGAAGGTAAGTTAGAAGATGCCGCGCAGAATACTAGTATCCTAGGGGCGGTACTAGACTTTGCAGAGGTGTCGCAGAGATTTTAAAGTTGCGCGCCACGAGGGCGGCAGAACAGAACCCCAGGCACTGGCTAACACAGGCTTTGACAAGACACTAAGTTCGTCAGGAAAGTAATAGCCCACGGTAAATAGATATATATAGAGAATAGAGATAGTGGTACCCTGCATATCGCCGAAGGCGAGGGGTCAGAGTATGAATACACACACACACACACACACACACCCTGTACAGAAATAGAAGAAACGAAATTATTCACACCATACATCAGGGACGAAGACATGCGTCAATCAAGAAGACCTAACGGTCTTAACCGCACATCAAAGCCTTCTTTTAGAAACCCCACCACTTGCAGAGGCAGTTGCAGCTTTTAAAGATTCAAAATCAGTAAGTTCAAATTCCAATTAAATAAGACTATCTGCTAACTTCTTTCGTCAAGCAGCCTACCTACCAAACCAACGCCCTCAAGCAGCAAGTAGGAAAACATGCGCAATATCTCCGAGCAGCCCGTTATGGCCCAACAACGACCTCGGGCAGCAGGTACGAAAACATGCGTCAGCAGCCCACCTGGCAAACCAATGCCCTCAAGCAGCAGGTGGGGAGACATGCGCATTATCTCCGAGTAGGCCGTTATGGCCTATTTCTGTTTTACCTGAACAAACCGGATGTACCTGAGACATGTTCAAACTCTTGAGTTGAGGATTTGTGGCCCACCAACGACCCCCGACAGCAGGTGCGAAGACATGCGGCAATAAGCCTTTTCCCAGGCACCCCATCATGCCGAACCAACGACCTCGAGCAGTCTTCCAATATCTCAGTAAGCTAATTACTCAAACCCAGTTCAACAATCACACTAACTAATCAACCTTCCTATACAGCAGCAGGTGCGAAGACATGCGTTATTCAGAGCAATGGCATAACCGCTTAAAACCCATTATACCACCATTTCTGTTTTACTTGAACAAACCGGATGTACCTGAGACATAATCAAACTCCAGAGTCAGGGATTTGATGAGTTATCTTCTGCTGAGTATGCACGCTAAGAATTTAATGAGCTTATAATAAATCTGTTGTCGATTTGGCTCCTTGTAATTGTAGGAGTTCCACTGGTTCATAAGGAGCGGCAGATTCTTGAGATTGTTGATCGTACTCAGCGCTCTCCCTCGCTTATACTGCCACATGTAGCCTAGCGCCACCCACAGTGGTCTCTACATAGCCAGAGATCTCATCCTGGTAGATAGGAATTAGTAATTACACACACTTCATAAGCTATCATTGCTCACAGAGATAATGACCAATCATGAGCAGGAGATTAGATTTGGTCGTCACATTCCGAGCAGTCTCAGCTGTCAATAAATCAGAAGTTTGGTGTTAGAGTAAATTATAGATGCATGTGTATAGATACATGATATAGACGAGTCAGGTACTCACATTTTGCAGCACGTTCGCCTCTCAGACATTTTTTATTCTGACCTAATTACTAAGTATTCAAGCCAACTTTTATGTCTTGGCTCGTAAGAATGTAGCGATGGTCGGGTGGTAATACATTCGGTTATCATTCGCGGGTAATTGGGTTCGATTCCCAGTAGGTGCATCGCATGTTTTCCCACCTGCTGTAAGGTAGGTGGGAAATCATACCCCGTGCCTGCTCCTATGGAGGATCTCGCGACTGCAATCCTTTTTTTTCTCTAAATTTAGAGCTGCATTACTATATCAGGAGAATCTGACATTACTATCCAGCTTATTGAGAAAGAAAGACACAGATGATACTAATCTAATATCTTAGATGCAAATTTTGTGTTGCAGCGCTCCGGCGCCATGGTGTTCTGCGGAGTTGGTCTCTATGGTAGCCGTATCGACGGTCATGGCATGTATGGTAGCCCCTAGTCTCCCGCTTTACCAGCGGTGGGACTTAGCGATTTCCTTCCTCTTCAACAATCTTACCATCTCCATAACGAATCAATGATCTTCATGACGATTGCACCAGTTGGTCTTCATGTTAGCCCTATCGACGGTCAACCAATTCAACTACATCATATTGATCATCATTCATCTTGACGAGTGCACCATTTTAGTGGCATGTCCTTCGATTCTAGGGAAACCTAGTCGTCTATACACCGCTTGAGGTGTTTGTCATTTCTTTTTCATCATTTTCAAGCGTTGTTTTGAGCGATTTGGGCTATCCAATCCTCCGTGGCATACCGATTCCGGGTCCTTGTCCGTATCGCTGTCCCACTTCCATCGACAACTCCACCAACCGACGTCTCCTATCGTCGTCAAGATCGCCAGGATCGTCTCTTTGACTAGTAGACGACCTTATATCTTCATCTTGACGCCTATATTCGTCGGACATTGTGGGTTTCTCATCCCGATCGCTTACCAACTCAACGCCTCGCTGCCTTGACACCTCGTTCCTGCCTTGACGTTATTCATCTCATCGACGCTCCCTCGGCCACCTTCAGCGAGACGAGAGCCATTTCCGCCTGACTGGCTCATCTACAAGCCAAGCGTTCGCCGAGCTGTTAAAGACTTTATCAAAGCATCAGTCTATTTGAATGACGACGGCAATTTCATAAATTGGCGCAATCTAAACCCGTTGACGCGTCCTGAGCCAGAGATCCCGCTCGACCTCATTCGATCCCGATCATCTTCGCTTGCCAGCAGTCGATCGTCAGGGCAATCGGTCGACCTCGATAGACCGTTTGAAGAAGTCAACAACTCCTACTTTGAACAACCTCGCCAAGACGAACCGATTGAGCTACCTGCCGAACCGGTTGAACGTCCGGAGCCTGTCGATCCTACTACACCTCGTCCAATTGGATCGTTCGTCGAGGCTCCTGATGGTCCACCTACTGTCGTACAATCAAGTCATTTGAAGGACACATCGAAGCTTTCAGCACCCCTGGAGCTTGGCGTTTCTCCGGCCGAACCCTCTGTTGACGATATTGATTCACCTCGGCCTCGCTCGACACGATCTTTGCCAATCGCCTCTACCTTATCGATTGCCTCTACGTCATCCTAGAACCTCTACGACGCAGATACTCCTCCACGTGTCAAGCCACGCTATCGACAATTTGGGCTGAGTATGACGAGTTGTGTAATAATGGCACATTTGAATTTGTTGCCAAAGCAGACACAAAGGGCTCTAAGATCCTCTTTAGAAAATAGGTTTTTAATATCAAAAAGGATAAGAATAGCATAATTCTCCGCTTCAAGGCCCAATAGATTACTTATAAGAATACATAACACTCCGGTGTTAACTTTAACTCTACATATACACTAGTGGTCTTTAATGTAGCTGTGAAAATAACTCTAACAGCTATTCTAATTTATAATCTTAAATAAGAGTAATTTAATATTATCACTATATTTCTCTATTCTGAAATGGACCGGGAGAATATTTATATAATTTAACTAGTAAAATTTAAGCTTAAAGGCAAGAAGTTCTGTTATTTATATAAAACAATATATAGCCTACATCAAGCGGGCCATCTGTGGAACAAAATAATTGATCAGAAGTTAAAGTCCATGGGCTTTGTCTCCCTAACTAAGGACCCCTGTCTCTATATACAGGTCAGAGATAGTAACATTGAGATTATTATCTCTTATATTAATGATTTTATTATTACTATAAAGAAAACTTCTGGAATTAATATATTTTATAACAATTTTCCTATCTCCTTTAAATATAAGCATATAGATAAACCTATTAGGTTTCTCGGAAGCTCTATCAATCGTGATAAAAAGAAAGGCACTATTACTATCTCACAGAACTCATTCGTTAACACAATTCTTAATCAAGCAAATATGACTGCATGCAGTGGGAATCCTATCCCGATGTCTCTCTGGCAACAACTATCTCTCGAAAACAGGGTCATTAAACTGGCTGTTAACAAGAGCACGGCCTAATATCACCTATTACTTGATATGTTTTTAACAGAAGGCAGCAAAGCCATCCACGATTGACTATAAGGCATATAAATCTATATATAGATACATCAACAGGAATTGCTACAATCTTGCCTTGGGCCTTGACCACACTGTTAGTCTAAAAATCTATATGGATGTAGTATATTAGGATTATAATAATAGCAAATCCTCTGAGGGATATGTTATTTTTTATATAGGATCCCCGGTTTTATAGGCTACGAAAAAACAGACTATTATAGCTCCGTCTTCTATAATCGCCAAATTAATTACTTTTGACTGTATAGTAAAGGAGGCTTTATAGATTAAGAAATTAGCTATTACTTTATTAATATAGAAAGATTCAGAGGGTTCAGATAATATTTTGGTACTAATTTTTATTTTAATAGATTCTGATAATACTATAATAATTATCTAAAAGTCCGGTTATATTATTATTATAAAATAACTTAATAATTAATACTTTTTTATAAAAGATCTTTATAATAAGAAGGCTATAATATTCTCCAGGGTCAATATAACTAAGAATCCTGCAGATGGCCTTACTAAACCTTTTGATCCTATAAAATTTAAGATATTTTAATCTCTTCTTCGCCTATAATACCAAGTATAGCATTTTTTGCTATAAATGCTATATTATTAATAAAATTAATAAATTTTCATCAAAATCTTCTAATCTTTATGGCAAAAATAATAAATAACTATATTATTCTTCTCCTATCTTTGTATTATTCTATTTACTGCGAAAAATGTTTAAAATTGCTTAAATTCAACCCCTCCTTTATTATTTTTATTATTTCGCTTTATTTCTTTCTCCTATATTACCTTAACTACTACCTTATTAGCCTATTTAATTATATATAACCTGACCAAAACCCCTCTAGGGGCGTGGGCCTATTTGGCTATATATATTATATGTGGCTCTCCCCCTGTATAAAGACATTATCTTATTTTGCGTCTTTTGGTGATTGTTTTCCGCTTTTCCCGGCGTTTTTACTCCGTTTTTTGACGCTGTGGTTTCCTTTACGTGGACGTCTTCTTTACGTTGCCTTCTTTAGTCGTTTTGACGCCTGTGGTGGTCCTAGACGAGGACTGGTTCAATAAAGAATGGACACTCCATGGTCCCGGGATCAAATCGACCTGGATTATTCTGTCCTGCCTTTGGCATGTTGCCCCGTTTCTTTACCTTTGGCTTGATCGTTCAGTTACTTGATTGCCTGTTCGATTTGCCTTTTGACGAGGCATTTTCTCAGTGTCTCGTTCATTCGTTCAGTTACTCGATTGCCTGTTCGATTATGGCCTTTTGATGAGGCCTTTTCTCAGCGTCTTAATTCGATTGTCCGTTCCTTGATAGCCCCAGGTGCGCTGTGGCTCGTTCCAACAAGCTTTTATTTGGAAATCACTTTATTATTCGATTACCTGTTTGATTATTAACATAAAACCCGGGATTCCCCTTTTTAACAAGGTATTTTCACTAAACAACCTGTTTCAATCATTTTATTACTCGATTCCTGCTTCCACTACTCGAAGACAGTAACTTCGAGTATTTTAACATATTATTATATTAATAACACAGGAGCAAAAGTGCTTAATCCACCATTAGTGGTTTGTTCGTTCTGTTACTCAATTTGTGGTCCCATTGCCCGTAAAGCATCCTTTACCATTTATTTATATGGCCCAGATGAAGCTGTGGAAAGTGTTTAATACATCATTCGGGGTTCAATCATTCAGTTACACGATCGTTTGTTCGATATTCCCCGTTGGTTGATCGACGGTTCGATCATTGTGTTACTCGATCGTCTGTTCGATCGTTCTGTTACTCGATCGCCGTATCCCGGGGTTTCTAGTCGTCTGCCCCCTGAGGGGGTGTGTTACTCCCGGCTGAAAAACAGGCGTTTCAATACTTTATTTCCTTATCGACCGGAACAAAAGGAAGCCCCCATGTGGGAGAATTCAACTATACCCTTACAGACACTCTTAAACTCTATATAGTAGATACAAAAATATATATCCGGTCTTAATTATATATTAAAATA